GGGCACAGGCCGAGCTGGGTGTGGGGCGCAGGGCTGGACTAGCAGGGGGCTCTCTGGGGGGCGCTGGCTCTCTGACCACCGTTCCCAAAGGGCCACTTTCCCCAGCCTCGGCCCACCAAGATGCGACAGGGGAAGAGAAAGGGTTCAGGGCAGGAGCCTGGCCCAGAAGAGGTGAAATGAACCAGTGAGCCCCCAAGCGAGAGGCCATCTTAGCCCCACGGCAACACGCCAGGAACTCACAGCTCAGGATCTCGGGCCCCCTGGCCTAACTGGGGCCACCGTTCCCAAAGGGCCACTTTCCCCAGCCTCGGCCCACCAAGATGCGACAGGGGAAGAGAAAGGGTTCAGGGCAGGAGCCTGGCCCAGAAGAGGTGAAATGAACCAGTGAGCCCCCAAGCGAGAGGCCATCTTAGCCCCACGGCAACACGCCAGGAACTCACAGCTCAGGATCTCGGGCCCCCTGGCCTAACTGGGGCTGATTCTGACCCTATTTCTCCACCTCCAGCCCCCTGCCCCGGGGGGTCCCCGTCGGGAGCCCGGCGGCACCCACCTGCGCTTGATCTCGTCGGGCGGGCGCACCAGCTCGCAGGCCGTGCCCAGCTTGGTGAGGACGGAGAAGACCTGCCCGCGCTCCTTCCAGGCCGCGTCGTCCCAGCCCTCCACGCCGCGCCAGGTCACCGAGAAGATGATGTTGGTGAGCAGGTTGCACAGCTCCTCCTCCGGGGTTTGCTGGGGGAGGCGGGCAGCAAAGCACAGGCTGAGATCAGCTGTTCCCCCCGCCCGCTCAGCTCCCCGCCTGCTCCTCCCAGAGCGGAGGGTGGGCACGGCGCCCCCTGGGGGACACCCCTGCCCTGCTGGGACCCGGTCAGAATGGGGCATCCGGGGATGGAGTGCCGGCACCGAGAGCCATGACCAGGGACGTCTGGCTGCCAAGTGGCGGAGGGCAGCAGGGGACAAATGGGTCTCAGGGATCCTGTGGGTCCCGTGAGCTCTGTAGAGACCGAAGAGCACCGTGTCCGGCCTGCGTCACGCAGGGAAAGGCATGGGCGGGGAGCCCGCGAGGAGACGTGTGTGAGCTGGGCGCCGGGCGCCTAAGACCCGCAGTTAACGGCCGGGCACCAGACACAGCTTTGGGCAGGTCTCCCCGCACAGAGCCAAGAGCCCCGTCTCCCTGCCTCGCCCTGTTTGCACGCGGGGCTGGGATATGATTCACAGCAAGGGCTGAGTGGGGGAGGGGGGACGCATCCACCACAAATGGAGAAATTAAAAAATACTGGGAGCCAGGGCTCCCAGCCCCCAGGCTGGTGTTTCCCCCAGGGCCCCCGTGCAAATTAGTGAATACTGGGAGCCAGGGCTCCCAGCCCCCAGGCTGGTGTTTCCCCCAGGGCCCCCGTGCTGGCGTTTCCTCCATGGCTCCCGGCCCCCGTGCTGGTGTTTCCCCCGTGGCTCCCGGCCCCCGCG